GGCAACTACTAGAACTCGGAAAGGGTGGAGGCGGCGGATGGGAAGTAGGGGGGGGTGTCGGCGCAAGGGCGGAGGGGGCAAGTCGAGGGGCTGCCTTTGACTGGTCGTTGTAATACAACAGCAATTAGCAGTAAACCTAGCCCTCCCTGCCTGCCGAGCTCTCCCAACCTGTATGCTTCATAGTGTTTGCCTCGTCGTCTCGTCAACGGGGACACGTGAAGAGGTTTAAGCCTTGTTTAACTCGGCAATACGCAATTAGCAATTTCCTTAATGCAGAGCAAATTATTCGGTCGCGGCGCGTCGAGTCACGCTTTTTCGCGATTTAGCGACCGCCAGCCGACTCGCGTAGTCATCGTCGTCTTCGTCGTCGTCGTCGTCGTCGTCGTCGTCGCGACGGAAATGTTTCTTCGCTTTTTTCTTCTTTTCAGAGTCTAATTTCCATCCGGGAGGCGCAGCGCGCGTCTTCAAGCCGCGTATACGGAGTTTCGCAAAAGTCATAACGATCGCGATAATGAATAGTTCTTTCTGCGCGGCAACTATCAACTTTCATGGTTAATAGCTCTCGTTTTTTTTTACTCTCTCTCTCCCTCTATATATATATATATATATATATATATGTGTGTGTGTGTGTATTTCTCTCTCTTTCTTTCTCTCTCCGTCTCTCTCTCTCTTTCTTTCTGTCGGCGAAGGCGGCTAATGGACGGTTTTCATTATGCAGATCGAGCAGGTGAACAGGTCCGTGGGTTTCAAGCGCTTTTAAGATCTCGATCGGTGGTTACTTGACCTCCGCTTGATCGGCCAATCGCGAGCGATAATCTATATTTAGCCTGCTGGTGATATTAGTCCGGCGTGTCCTTCGTAGGAAGGAAGAAGGAAGGCGCGCTTTATCCGCCGGGAATCTTGTTCTCCGTTAATTACCGCTTAGTACTCGACTACGGTGCTTTAATACAGCATAGATAATCGACCGCGTGCTGCCGCTGTTGCTGTTGCTGTTGCCGTTGCTGTTGCTGTTGTTGTTGCTGTTGTGTTGTGCGAACGGCAGCTGCAACCGCGTGGAAGTAAATTTGCACACGGAAAAAGACTCGATGGATCCGAAAGGAGAATTCTCCGGGAGCGAGATAGACGTGTCCCCTCCTCTCTCTTCTTCTCTCTTTCTTCTCTCCTCTCTCTTCTCTCTCTCTCTCTCTCTCTCTCTCTTTCTCTCTTCTTCTCTCTCTCCTCTCTCTCTTCTCTCTCTCTCTCTCTCTCTCTCTCTCTCTCTCTCTCTCTCTCTCTCTCTCTCTCTCTCTCTCTCTCTCTCTCTCTCTCTCTCTCTCTCTTCTCTCTCCTTTCTCTCTTCTCTCTCTCTCTCTCTCTCTCTCTCTCTCTCTCTTCTCTCTCTCTCTCTCTCTCTCTCTCTCTCTCTCTCTCTCTCTCTCTCTTCTCTCTCTCTCTCTCTCTCTCTCTCTCTCTCTCTCTCTCTCTCTCTCTCTCTCTCTCTCTCTCTCTCTCTCTCCTCTCTCTCTCTCTTCTTCTCTCTCTCTCTCTCTCTCTCTCTCTTCTCTCTCTCTCTCTCCTCTCTCTCTCTCTCTCTCTCTCTCTCTCTCTCTCTCTCTCTTCTCTCTCTCTCTCTCTCTCTTCTCTCTCTCTTCTCTCTCTCTCTCTCTCTCTCTCTCTCCTCTCTCTCTCCTCCTCTCTCTCTCTCTCTCTCTTCTCTCTCCCTCTCTCTCTCTCTCTCTCTCTCTCTCTCTCTTCTCTCTCTCTCTCTCTCTCTCTCTCTCTCTCTCCTCTCTCTCTCTCTCTCTCTCTCTCTCTCTCTCTCTTCTCTCTCCTCTCTCTCTCTCTCTCTCTCTCTCTCTCTCTCTCCTCTCTCTCTCTCTCTCTCTCTCTCTCTCTCTCTCTCTCTCTCTCTCTCTCTCTCTCTCTCTCTCTCTCTCTCTCTCTCTCTCTCTCTCTGCGCCTTGTCCTTCACAAAGCGCACCCCCTCTTTGATCCTTCACTTCGTGACATGAGCGCGTTCGGTCCTTCCCGTGTAGCGGGCATCCTGCTCTCAGCCGAGGAAAACACTTTTGGCTTACGTCACGGCCGTGCGAAGAAGTCCGCTTCCTCCGCGCTAAAGCCTCGTCCCCATCGCTCGTCGTAATGAAAACGCGCTGGCTTTTCCCTGTCATATCGCGTGTGTGCTTTGCATTAATAATAGATCCCTTGGTCTACGCGGACTCTATTTGCCTCGATTTATCGGATTCGTGTGCTTTATTGACAGTGCTGGATTATTATTATTATTATCAGTTCAAAATTTCCATCGAGAATGGAAATTTTGGACGATCGGTATAATCGAAACGAATATCGAGTGAATCATGGCTGCACGATCGCTGCGACCGGCTATTTTCATTAGATTGATTGATTATTAGTTTGGTCGGTCGACTAAATTATATTCATAATTGCATATGTGACGATTGATTAATTTTGATTGATCGTTGACTTGCCGATTTTTTTAGGCGACCAAAATCTTCATCGATCAATATCCGTTGTTATCGTACACGGAGAGACTTTAACTCGGCGTCATTGCACTGATAAGATGTTACACGCGCGTTCACATGGGTCATGATGACCCGAATATTTCTTCGTCCACCCTCGCAATGCCAGTTTTGGTCTTAGGAAGCTAGTAACTTTTATGGCATACTAGTCTTTTAATATAAGCAATTTAGCCACGTTCAGCAGAAAAAACTGCTTACTAAGCGCTTAGTAATTGTGATTGGAGTATTCTTCTGGATCATTGACGGATTCAAGAGAACAAATCAATCAGGAATGATCAGGGAGGTATCACTAAGCGCGCTTAGTAAGCAGTTTTCTCTGTTGAATGCGGCCAATATTTAAGGGGTTTAAACGTCATTCGGATCCAGTTTCAATAACGCCGGATTCTCACTAATCATCTAGACGGTGGACAAGAGTCCATCGATTTTCTGTCAAACTTGTTTTTTCATTGCGATACTCGATCGACATTAAAAATATGTCGATACAAAAGTACCGAATAATATTTTGACGAAGGATCGATGGACACTTGTCCGTCGATGTCTAAATTATTAGTGAGTTTTATCGGCCTTATCATGTTCGGTCGAGAAGACCTCTTCACAGACCACTTGGAATAAGTTTAATATTTGTGTAGATAGACTTGGTTTGTTCACGTGAACGTAGAAAGATAGGTTATCACACTATCCACACACACACACACACACACACGCACACACGCACACACACGCACACGCACGCACACGCACACACACACACACACACACACACACACACACACACACACACACACACACACACACACACACACACGACGCTGGTCTGATCGACACGTTACACACGTGACGACAGGTAACGAACGTATTAAAAACGAAGGTAAATATTAATATTAATGACGACCTCATACCGATTTCGATAACTTTGACATGTATTATCAAGGACATGGCTCTGATTAACTTGCACAAAGACGTAGCCGCCGCTCTTTGTCGATCACAAAATCACGAATAATTAAAGATAGTGACTGACTGATATCCGTGGAGCATAAGACTGCGTGCATTTCCGCATGAATCATGAAGTTTATATTAATAAATGGAAATCAACAACGATATTTTGCATGTATAAAAGAGTACATGTGTATGTGCGTATAAATATTATCCATGATAATTTAATTGAATTATTCATGGCTTGGTAGCAACGGTTAAAATTTTTTGCGAGTTAGCCAGAGCCATATCCTTGACAATATATGTTGAGGTTGTTATATAATTATATTATTAATATATAATTGTTATATAATAACGGTGCGGCCGCCACACTGATATTAATATTTATCAAAGTTAATTTATTTGACGCAAAATACATTGGCCCGGATTTTTCAGGTAAAACGACTCGAGTAATATTTGGAAGTCGTTACAATTTTTACAATTTTTATAAAACAACGTATATGAAGGTTGACAGAAAATTACAGAAACGAAAACGCGGCACGTACATTGTTTCACAAGATTATAACGATTCAAAAGTAGCATCGTTTTATCTTGTCGGGACAGCCAATTGACAAACAAATTACTTGTTACACAAGTAACATATACGATACATTTACATACACAAGTATTTACACATTTATATTGTAATAATATAAATACATACATATAACAATACATTTCGTGCAATATATACAGGGTGACACCGAAAAAGGTGGCCAAACCTCGATACCGTATTCTATTCTTCCTAAGGATGAAAGAAGTCATATAAACATAATTCTTTTCTTTTCGAGATACAAACAATTTTTTGTTTATGGATGACTATTGTAGAAATGTTTAAAGCTTACTTAAAGAATCAGCTGGAAATGATTTCCTTCTGCTTCACATCGACATTGCAGTGACTGTCGAAGACGTTCAAAAATTCCTGGTGTATTCCAAATTTGATCACATGCGGCAACAATCCGGTTTTTGAATGTTTCCAGACTATCAATAGTATCGTTATCATGGACTAAACTTTTAAGATGTCTCCACAAGTAAAAGGAGTTAAGTCAGGGGAGCGTGCAGGCCAGGCAATTGGCCCTCCTCTGCCAATCCATCGATTGATGTAATTGTTATTAAGATATTCTCTAGCAATTCGGCTAAAATGGGCCGGAGCTCCATCATGCATAAAGCACATTCGAGTGTTGCCAATGGTACATCTTGTAATGGTGCAGAAAGTGCAGTTGCCAAAAATTGTGTACAATTTCTGCCGTTGAGTGCAAACAGAAGAAAAACTGGCCCAACAAGTAGATCTCCAATAATTCCAGCCCACACGTTGCATGAAAGCTGGTGTTGGTGTCGAGATTGATTAACAACATGCGTGTTAACTGAGCTTCAAACATTTCTACAATACTCGATCATAAACAAAAAAGTGTTTATATCTTGGAAAGGAAGAGTTTCCGGACCTATGTTTATGCGACCTATTTTCATCCTTAGGAAAAGTAGAATACGGTACCGAAGTTTGGCCGCCTTTTTCGGTGCCACTTTGTATATCTATCGAGTTCTCGAAAACTCTTGCAGCAAATCGCGCACTGAGACGACACATTACTACGACTACACAGAAAACGGAAAGAATATCTCTTCACTTGTTCTCTTACCTCGTGGGTTCAGTCTTTCAGGGTTAAACCATGCGTCTGTAAACAATACAAGCAAGAATGTTAGTATCAGATTCCATCGCCGGAATGGGAATGAGGAGTGCGGATTGTTACGGATTGAGTTCGCGGACAATCGATTAAACTCAGAATTCCAGATGGATATTTCGATATTACAGATCAATTGTTGAGGAAGCGCGAGTGAAAGAGAGAACAAGAGATGTAAGAATAACGAGAGAAAGAAACAGAGACAAAGAGAGAGAGAGAGAGAGAGAGAGAGAGAGAGAGAGGGAGAAAGTTTCAAGCGTCGATAATCGGCTCTGTTAGCGTTCTCGGTATAGTCGCAAGCAAAGAGAGGAGGGACGATTAAATGACACAAGAATGTCGAGCGAGTATAAAATCGACGAATGTAAGAAAAGCCGTTTTTCGTCGAGACTGTCGTCAAGAGCGTTTCTCCCTTCGCAGGCACGCTCGAGGTCATGCGAATTATTGCCAATATACGGGAGAACGATTTCTCAATTTCCTTGCGAAGGAAATATCGATCTCGTTGTGCAGCGGTTAGAGCTAAACTTACATCAAGCGAAAATAAAAATTAAGAAACACGCGCGGTCTGTCCCCCCCCTCCCTCACACGATGTACTCCTCCTTGAGCTTATATCTCACGTGCCGAGAGTCAGTATTAATAATCGCATGATAAATCGATAGAGCGAAGGATCTCACCGCCGTGGAAAAATAGTCTCGACGTTCTAAAAGCTATCGGCGCGCAGGCGGACAGATACAGCTTATTTGTCAAGTATTGCGCTTAGTAAGCGTTCCTTTTTTCCGCGCTAACCGCGCGAGTCATCGTTCAACTGTGTGCAGGACATACAGGGTGTCCGTCGGGAATCTATTCAGCGATTTATCTTCGGCGGTGACGTTATCGGCCATTGGAGTCGCACACTTTACATAGACACGCGTTGCACAAGGTGACTCGGCAAAATGTTTAAATACCCTTTTGGTCGGCTTGAGAACATACGTACGAAAAAAAAGAAGACAAAGAACATGACGAACGGAATTTAAAGGGGCGGGGAGGGGACAAACGCGATAGACGTAACCGTCTTGTCTCCGCGATTCTTTCTTTTTGAGATTCTCGACGATCGCTATCCTCTCGAATCTTCCTCATTAAGGTGCCTTTCAGGAACTACATGTGTCTATTCTAATATCGTAGCTGCGTGCATGAAATGCTGATACGAAGTATCGATTGCGCATACCGTATCGCGCTTCTCGAAGTTACCCTCTAAATTCAGAACTAAGAATTGCACGAGGAAATATGTCGCAGTCGGTAGGCGAAACAAAAGTCTACAAGAACCGACAAGAAAATGTCAGTTGCGAAAATCATTGTCATGTCATATAAACCTACAGTAAAATTCAAATTCGGGATTACACAGGGTGTCCCATTTTAAAGGATCCGTTCAAATATCTCAGAAACGGTGCGTTAAATCGAAAAATGTTTCAGACAAAAGTTGTATGGTTTCAAGGAGGACATAAAACAAAACTAAGTGGAACCCCCCCTTTTTTTATTTTATCATCTTTTTCTACCAATTAATTTTGGCAATTTTTGTCTGAAACATTTTTTTATCTGCCTAATATTTTTTGAGATATTTGAGAAAAGCTTGGTAACTTTTTCAATATTTCGCTGACTATTTGTCGGAAGAAAAAATAATACTAGACTCTTTTACTCTCTATTTGGTCTTAAGATTATATCGTTACAATAGTGCCTTAACTTTTGTTAATTTATTGACTTTTAGAAATTTCAAAATCATCAAATTAACAATTAAATTTGTCTGAAACATTCTTCGATTTAACGCACTTTCTGAGATATTTAAGTGGATCCTTTAAAATGGGACACCCTGTATGACTCTCTTCACAGTCGCGATGAATAATTCTTACAGCCGACATCTCCTGTCGGTTTTTGCAAGTTTTATCGTATTTACCGATCGCAAAGTCCACCTGAGAGGATCCATCTCGATTATGTCTGTTTCCATTTTTTTAAAACGGTTTCAACGCTCGCGTGAAGCACGAGAACGCTGGAAATATCTCGACACAATTCTGCTGCCGACTTTCCCGAAGCTAATAGATACACTTGAACGTTCTTCTGGTGATTCACTCGCTCGTCCGCTCGTTCTGTGCTTATCGTAACGGAAATTCACCGCGTCGCTGCGGAAAACTCGGCTGATATCCGCCGGCTACGTTGGGCACGGACCTTTTTCAACGGGTCGTCGCAGGGCCCTCCCTGCCGCTCCCCTCGCCCTCTCCGCACGAATTCTCCTCGTTCTAACTTATAAAGAAACAAAAGGTGAAGGCGGGCGAAACGAGTACGCGCGACCGGAGGGCGCGAGTCGATGGAGTCAATACCCTCCTCTCATTTAACACACACGGGCCCCTATCGTTCTGTGTGTCAAGTGCACAAACGCGCGCCTTTTGCGATCCGCACGCGCTCCGTTTCTCCGCGTTATTATACGTATTATTGGAGTAATATCGAGCGCAAAAACGTGAGCTCTTCTGTTACTCACCTACCCACACGAGGTCTAACCAAATATTCGTTGGTCCTGCGCGAATCCCACAATATATCGAAAAAGGATATACCTAAAAATATACGTGTCACCCGAAATCTCACCTCCCCCCCTCTCGCCCTTCCCCGACGCCTCCACGAGTACCTTCAGCGGCGATTTCTGCGGGGAAGAAAAAAATTCTACGATAGAGAAAGGGACAGAGATAGATAGATAGATAGATAGATATATATATATAGAGAGAGAGAGAGAGAGAGAGAGAGAGAGAGAGAGAGAGAGAGAGAGAGAGAGAGAGAGAGAGAGAGAGAGAGAGAGAGAGAGGGAAATATATATTTGATAAAGTTTCTTCCATACACATTTTTCTATTTTTCTCGATATCCATCAAAACTTTTACACTCATTCACTTTGTCACCCCAGCGAATAATTTCACAGCGCTGTGACCCTAATCAACAAGTTAGCAGGACACCCTGCTTTGTGTCGTTCCCTGCGAGCGTTAACGCGGTAAGTGGATAGATGGAGATGCCCCTGTGATATGCGAAAATGTGCGGCGAGGTATATACAGAATGTCCGACAAGTGCGAGAGCGTCATCGCGCTGGCGAAAACGTCACCGCGGCTCCCATCGGTTTACGCCTGGCTGTCTTATACTTCATGACACATACACGCGCGCGCGCGCGCGTGTGTTGTGTGTGGGTGGGCTGTGCCTCGCGAGCTAACCGTGACGAACGTACACTGAGAGAAAAAAACGCTAAGGTCGCTAAAATTACACTCATTTTCGCGACGGCGCAATTGTATCTTCTGGTTGTTCTGACAAAAGAAAGTAACAGTGGCAATAGAGATTTAAGATTGTACTGGTAGCAACAATATATTATGATGACAATTACAATGCAGAATTTTTCCTGGATTATAATTCTCCCACTGCGCGATCATAGTCACGTGTACCAAACATTCTTCTCCTTTCCGTCAGCGTGTCGGTTGCGAACATTATTTCATGGTACTGTCGAAGTCGTACAATTTTAGACATGACTTATCAAGGGTACGCAATCAGTTTCCGTCGTTTCCAAGGCAATGTTTCTTATTAATATTGTTATAAATGACATGGTATCTTCAGTAAAGATATTTTCCGGCATTATCTGCTACTTTCTGCCATCTTTCAAGCAAAAGATAGACACCACGATAAAAGACGTCTTTGCTCTTAGAATGAATCAAGTTATCGATCAAGTGTCGCACCTGCTCAACATTGCGAAATCGTGCGAAATCAGAAAGACTGTGCTGCATAGAACGAAATAAGCGAAAATCCGATAGGACAATATCTGGATCGAATATGTTGAGTGTGGTAGGACTTCCCATTGCAATTCCATTAAAGTTTCCCGGGTCGTCAATTGCAACATGGATGCTGGCATTGTCGTGCGGACCACAACCACTTTGTATTGTTTTGTCGCAAAATATGGCCGTTTCTCGATCAATTGCTCATTTAACTGCCTCAATTGTCGACTGTATAATCTCGCGGGGGTAGTTTGAGATGGTTTTAACAGCCTCATAATATAGCACGTCGCACCACATACACAGGAAGACCCTGTGTGATCATGGATACTCCGTTTTGACTACGACGTAGACGGATTCTCCGGGATTTATTCACGATCTTTTACAATTGGGATTGTCATAATAAATCCATTTTTCGTCTCCGGTCACAATCCGATATAAAAAAGACTTGGGTTTGTGTCTATTGAGCAACGAAAGGCAAATGGTGACTCGGCTGGCAACAGCGTTCCCGCATAATTCATGAGGAATCCATTTTCCTTCCTTCAGAATTTTCCCTACCTCATGCAAACGTCGAATTACAGTGCTCTGATTAACGCGTAACCTTTCGCAAGCTCTACACTCGATTGAGACGAATCTTTTCGCGATAACATTACCGAGTCATCCGAACTCTCATCTCTCGCGGTCGCCGCGGCACGCTTCTTGTCTTTCAAGTCAAAACCGCCATTTTTAAAGCGCCGAAACGAACTCACGACATGAACTTTCAGCTATCGTTCTCCCATCATAAGTTTCGCAAATGATTCTGATTGTTTCGGCAGCAGTCTCGCGCTGGTGAAATAAAGAAAGCATACAATGACGAATATGCGTCTTATCGACTTCTGTCTTCATACGAATTAGAAATATTTATGTCAATGAATACCACTTATTATGCATCAGTTTCTATGCAGATTGACCAACATTGACTTAGCATAACCTAACAAAAACGCGTCGCAACTTTCATGTAAATAATCCACAATGCCACTTATACATGAGCGACGGAAACTTTTGCATAGCCCTGATATGTCATAAGAATTCATTTGACAATTGCTTGTAAATAACCCGACAATCGACTAACTTTAGGCAAACTCGATCGATAGCCGCGTTTCGCTACGATTGCGATAGCTGGGTTGGCAAAAAGCGTCCCTGTGCAAATTCGTCAAGTTCTGAATTTAACGCGGACTCGACCGCGCAACACTT